ATGAGCACCGAGCGGCGAGCACGAAAAGCATGTATCCACGATGAGCACGAAAAGCACGGATCCACGATGAGCACCGAGCGGCGAGCACGAAAAGCATGTATCCACGATGAGCACGAAAAGCACGGATCCACGATGAGCACCGAGCACCAAAAGCACGGATCGACGATGAGCGCGTGATCATGCACCAAAGAAAAGCACGGATCAACAATCAGCACGTGATCATGCACCAAAGCACAGATCCACGATCAGCAAGTGACGAAAAGCACGGATCCACGATGAGCACCGAGCACCAAAGATGAGGAGCAAGTTCCCGTCGAGCACCAAAGGAGAGCACAGTCCACGCGCGCGCGCGCGCGCGAGAGAGAGAGAGAGAGAGAGAGAGAGAGAGAACACAAATGTTGAGCAAGAAAAGCACGGATCCACGATGAGCACAAAAAGCACACGATGAGGACCACCAGTCGAGCACCGACGGAGAGAACCAAGTTCCCGTCCAGCGACAGTCCGAGAGAGAGAGAGAGAGAGAGAGAGAGAGAGAGAGAGAGAGAGAGAGAGAGCACGATGAGCACCAAGTTCCCGTCCAGCACGAAAAGCACAGATCGACGATGAGCACCACCCGTCGAGCACGAAAGGAGAGCACCAAGTTCCCGTCGAGCACAAAAAGCACGGATCGATGATGAGCACCACCCGTCGAGCACGAAAGGAGAGCACCAAGTTCCCGTCGAGCACAAAAAGCACGGATCGACGATGAGCACCACAAAAAGCACGGATCGATGATGAGCACCACCCGTCGAGCACCAAAGGAGAGCACAGTCCGACAGTCACAGAGAGAGAGAGAGAGAGAGAGAGAGAGAGAGAGAGAGAGAGAGAGAGAGAGAGCACAATGAGCACGTCGCGTGCCGTAGCGTGCCGTAGCGCTCGAGACGATTAAGAAGCCCGCCCCTTCGAATGGCGGGCCTTCGAAGGGCGATTTCAGGGCTGGGCGCGGGCGCACATTCAGAAGGGCCGTTTGGGCGGGTGGAACCGGTATCGCACGGCCCAGATTGCGGGCCGGTCACCACCTGCGAACGGCCCAGATCGCAGGCCGATGAGAAAAGTTTCTCATCGGGCTGCGATCTGGGCCGTCCGCGGGTGGTGACCGGGCCGCAACCTGCGTCGGTAGATATGACGTTAGCGATTCTTATAGTATTGTAGATGTAGATGTAGATGTAGAAGGCGCTAAGTTCTCAAAATCCATTGGGAAAGGGGGGTGGAAATCAGTAAGATTAACGGATCTGGAGAACATGACGGATTTTCTTTTGAACAATGTCTTCTTTAAATCTCTGGGGGAGATCTTGAAACAAGACACAGGTATCCCCATGGGGGGGTATGCTAGCCCCACTTTGGCGTGCCTGGTTTGTATGTATTCTGACAATGCATACCTGAAATCACTCGAGAATGAACGAAAACTAACGTGTGGAAGAAGATTTATTGATGACTTATTATTGATCACATGGCACAAGAAAGGTGACAGGATAAAGGCGGAACAAAGATTGGACAAAGTGAAAAAGTGCTACAATGAAAATTTGGAGTTGGAACGAACGGACGACGGTACAAATCTAGTCCAATTTTTGGAGACCAAGGTCATTGTCACCCAAGATCCAGATGAAATTCAATGTTTTCACAAGTTCAAGAATTTCGAGACAATTTGGGATAAAGTGGAACCAGAGATTTATACCACTCGAACTTACCAGTCCTTCAGTTATATTGAACAAAATATAGCATTCATAATGGGAACAATTTACCGCATCTATGCTAATACATCAGCACAAGCAACTCTGCCTCTGAGCCTGATGACATTTCACAGAGAACTGAGGAAGTTGGAGTACCCGAGTGAATTGCTTTTGAGTGGGCTGAGGAAGGTAGCAAAAAGGGTGGGAGGGAGGGTCCTACCAGAAATATACGCGCACTTCTCATTATTATACGGCAAGTAAACCAGCACGGTATGAGCGGGCTTTTTTTGAAAGAACCTTCGAGCAGATCGAGAGTAGAGAGAGGGAGAAAATAACGTTTGGAGCTAGGCTGTTTTCCCGGGCGCCCGGGCACCCAACTTCTGCCCGGATACACGCCCGGGTGCCCGGCCGGACATGACCCCCGGGCAGGGTTCGGGCAGCCCCAGCGCCCCAAAAAAAAAAAAAAACAACTCAAAAAATTCCGGAAAAAAAATATGTTGTGTACGATTGAAATACAAACGACTTTTGGCTTTATAATTCCTCACCGAATCCGAGATAAAAAAGAAAGTAACAGAATCACACAAAGGCATCCCCCTTTAGACCCCTTTAGCCCCTTCAAAACTAGGTTGTTTTATCGGATGTCCGGGACCCCCCTGACCGTCCGGGATGTCCGACCGGACGTCGGGCCGGACAGGGGATGTCCGACCTAGCGCAAAAAAAGAAAAAAGAAAAAAAAAAAGTTTTTTTTTTGAAAAACATCATGTGGCTTCTACCTTGCATAAGGTGTATGCCACCAAAATTTTGGTTCATTTGCTAGGCTACCAGAGCAGCCCGGGTCCACTTGCCCGGCTGGGCCAAAAAGATATAAAAAATACAAAAATAAAAATTATTTTTTACGTTTTATTTTTATTTTACATTTGGTAAAGAATTTCGATGTGACCCTGAGGCAAAAGTTGTTCAGTTTATTTTTCTGCATAACATAGTTTTTTTT